CAAAAGGTGGTTATCTGCACTGCCATTGTTCATGAAAATTATGTCATACCAGGTTCTGATATTTAGCATGCATCGTTTATATTCTGAAAACATGTGTTCTTTGTCCTTTCAATAACTAACTTAAATACTCCCTCCGTTCCTAAATACTTGTCTTTCTAGTCATTTCAACAAGTGACTACATACGGAGCAAAATGAGTGAATCTACACTCTAAAATATGTCTACATACATCCGTATGTAGTAGTCATTTGAAATGTCTAGAAAGACAAATATTTAGGAACGGAGGGAGTATTATGCAGAGCGTGAGAAATTAATGATGTCAACTTTCTGATGGGGAAAAAGGAAAACATGTGCTTCTGTTATATGCCCGAAGATTGTGCTTAAATGGGAGAGCATGAATGTGTTTCATTAAGCTGCCTTGGCCCCAGGTGTGTTCCATATTTCCATTGTTGTCCCATTTGCGACTATCTTACTATGTGCAGCCTAGGATTTGGTTGATCTTCTATGCAGGCATAATCCGGTGATGCAGTGCAATGTTTTCATGTTTCGATTTCCATTTTAATCCTGGTTCAGAGAGTGACCAGTTCATAATGCGAAGCTCTACTGTTGAATTCTATCCTTCGGTGTTCCTTAGTTCCTTTGACCATGCCACTCACTGAAATGAGAGACATGCTCGTAGTTAATTTACTTATGCCATCAGTGCTCATAAACGGTCCAGCTGGGGAATCCTTCGTTACCTATACGTTAACGTTGTTCTTTTGTTTTTATTGTTGTGTGATACATATCCACCTATGATGACAAGTAGGTTCCCAAAGTTTTGTATGGTAGCTGTAAGTTGGCATCTTCCAATTGCTGATGGACCCTAAGTTTGAATGTTGTACTTACTTGGTTTGTAAGGTCTTACGGTTTCAGTGCTTTATTTGCTCATGGAGCTATGGCTCTGTTACGTTGGGCTAAGGTTTGATTGCCTGCACGGGTACGGCAAGGTGTAGATGCAGATTCATTGTCGATGTTGAATACTGGAGTAAGAATGATGATCAATGCTCTAATGAACCTGCATGCTGCAGCATTACTATCAGGATATATGGGTTAGGCACATACTCTTTTGACAGTGGGTTAACTAAGTGTGGTTTTCAGGTGAAGTTGCCTATTAGTTTTTTTCAGCTTTCTTGTGTTGACTTCTCTTTTACTGTAAAGCAAAGGCTGGCAGTTAGTATTCCCTGATTCAAGAGTTTTTTTTACTTGGAAGATCGGAACATTGTCGATAGAAGAATGAGTTTTATAGCAAACTAGGTTCAGACTTGTATACTAATTTCATTTTGCGACACCATGATGGTTGTTGGGGTATAATTAAGACTTTGTTCCCACTGAACATGAAATGCTGGATGATGATGAGATCATCTATGACAGTGATTGGCGGTGCACTGATGATTGTGAGTATATATAGATCACATTAACACATTTCTGATAACTATAGTTCTAACTCATTGATGGATCCTTCTCTGTCTCTTATGGCTCTATGGGCCGAGCATTCTTATCTCTAGTTGGACAACACTAGCCTCTATAGTAACACATATGCTCTGAGATTTTTCTAGGATCATTCCTCCCAGGTGATAACGAACCTGCTCATAATGTAGCATAAGCTAAATCGATTCTAGATTTTCTTTTTTGGCCCACTACAATAAAAGATCATTCATACTGAGCTTTTTTGTGCTACAACAGAATTATGGATGACTGCTCTATTTTTGAGAATTGCTCTATTTAATCTTTGACAGTTCGGTCTATATATGTCATGGGTTTAGCTATTAGCGTTGTTGATTGCAACCTTGCGGACCTCCTGCTTATTGCTTTTCATTATTCTTTGTGTAGGTCACATACACCAACATCTAAAATAAATCCAGCAGGCAGTTGAGAGTTTTTCGGCTGTGATGATTACCAATGCAGATAGAGCTATCTAATCCAGCTTTCGCTTGATTTTCGTCACTGAGCTACCAGCCTTCTTTTTTCCCCTTTCCTATTACTACAAGTGTATGGTAATTATTTACCAAATACTCCCTCGTCCCAAAATTCTTGTCTTAGAGTCGTTGATTTCAAGGAACTTCGTTCCATCCAAGATCCTGAGGAAAGAATCAGACTGCCTGGATCTGTGGAGGGCACTGATATCATTTTTGTGTCCACAGATTTTGGCATCCACAAGGTTAATCTCAAGTCACTACACAAAAAGAAGTTGTGCTAGAGACGGCAATACCGTACTTCAATTCCATACATGAGTTTCTACCATCCGCCGGGTACATCTCTGCGTTCTTCCTTTTCCTCTTTTTTCTTTTGTGATCTGGGCACAACACTACTTGAATCTCTAATCAGATTGAAAGTTATATTTGATTGTTCAGCTGTGAGCAAACTTTGTGTGCTATGTAACACTAGAATGTTGCACCTAATTATGCTTATGGCTACCTAACTGGTTGTTTTATATTCTATCATGCCATCTCCTTTTTGCAATCACACTTACAAATCTATGTTTGCAGAATGGGAAATTGCAGAAATAGAGGAAAGGTGAGTCATTCAGTTGCGGCACGACCGTTGACGATGTAGGATTGAATATGGTTAAGGGCAGGATGCCGCTTTCATCAACAGGAAAGATTACCAGACCACTTGGAGTTGGAGGTGACATGAGCCTTGTGATCAATTCTGCCGGTATTCAGTAGCTTTTTAGCGGTGCTTGTTGGCTTTTGGTAGCATGCTTGATAATTTCCCCGTGTTAGCATGCGTAAGTGGGTGAATGGATTATCTTGTAATGAGGAACTTCTAGTTTCTTGAAGCAGCAACAATCATGTCCTCCTTTGTTGAATTTGCTAGAGAATGCATAGTTTGGTCAGTTTGCTATTTTACAAACTCTACAGTTTGCTTCCCAATTTTTATCCAGTTTTTGGATTCATCTCCCATAAGGGGTACCATTGCTTAGTTTTTGCATGGTGGCTTGCTCATCTCAATTAATCTTGTGAATTCAGTTATTGCTACATGTCGAGTGCTAATGTTAGGGCAGTTATATTTTTGGAAAACTACAGAATGTTTAGTCAGAGTGTGCAAGGCTAGAATGATAATTGCTAGAACCAGCCTCTTGTTTCACTGATGCTTCTCATTGGTCTGGGCATCAATATACAGTTCACCATCACTGAATGTTGTCTCTCTGTTAACTAGTCTCCTTTTTAGGGTGCATATTACAGTCAACCTCTCACGTTGATCAAACAATGCCCCGCTTCCTGGCGGACAGCAAAAACTGTCTAGATGTTTAGATGTAGGATTTGGTTGAATTCCATTGTAAAAAGGTCGTGTCTGGACGTCATGTTGCTGTAATTGCTCCAGGGCTTCTTTCTGTTACTCCCTCCATCCCATAATATAAGATAGTTTTGCAAGCTAAAACAGCTTGCAAAACGATCATATATTATGGGACGGAAGGAGTACATTATAGCGATCTAATGTACAGGAAGTAGCACCTGAACAAGGGCTCCTGTAGATGTAGGCTATGTAGGCTTCAGATGAACTCCATTTTATCGCCACCCCCATGCTGTCGACTTCTCTTAGCTCACTGTGATGCTGGACTCTGTCTAGCGTCTCTAGCTTTTAGCTTCCCAAGTTTCAAAACTTCCCTAGCTTAGGAGCGGACATTGATCTTCTATTTTTGACCATAGCATTGTTCTTAAAATTTCTGTTCAACCAAATCATGATTATCAGGTATGTTTGTATTATAGTGAAAATGTACTGCCAATTTTCTGTCGATGAGTTCCGAAAGGTGTAAACATGTATGCACCTGAGATAATATGATCTGCACCTGGAGGGTGATCGGTAATACTATGCAGTTCACCGCCTCCGAATGCCTTCTCTCTATATACTCCTTTTAGGTGCATATTACAGCTAACCTCTCATGTTGATCAAACAATGCCCCACTTCCTGGTGGACACCAAAAACTGTTTAGATGCAAGATTCAGTCGGACTGCATCGTCGAGCGTCGTGTCTAGATGTTGTGTTTCTCCACGCCTTGAATTTGCAATGGCACCACCTGTTGAGTTCTCTCGACTCGCTGCAATGGGCTGCGTCCAGTGGCTCTTGTAGTTTCCTGAGTTTCAGAACTTCCCCTGGCGCCTAGGGAGTGTGTTTCAATCTCGTTCATTTTTCACCCTCGTATTGTTCTGTGAAAATTCCATCCAACCGCATCATGGCTCTCAAGCCTGAACATCTGTAGCAGACCATGTTTTGATGAGTAAAACTGCCCCTTTAGAGTCTCATTCTGTTACATTATATATATTGACCTAATATACATGAAGTAGAACATGAACAAGAGCCCCTGTAGATGTAGGGTTCAGACTAACTCTTATCATCAAACATCATGTTGTGTTTCTTGCCTCGGATTTTAGAACAGGATGTAGCAATTATTTCCACCCCCGTGGTGTCGAGTTCTCTCATCTCGCCGTGATGGGCTCAGTCCAGCGGCTCTAGCTTTTAGCTTATTAATGCCGGTTAGGTCAACAGCGTTATTGAAGAATTCTTGGAGAAAACAGAGTAGATCATTCTTGAACATATCCTTCAAAAATTAATAGAACTCATTTGTGTAGCACTCATTTGTGTAGCAATCAGTCATGAGCAGGCATGGTGCGCTCTCAAGCTCTGTTACCTTGACACATTACCTTGTCGATTTCCATTAAAGAAACCACCAGTGTTTTTGTTCCTCCAAAAAAAAAACACCAGTGTTTTAGAAAGCAAAACAAAGAACAAAGATTCCCTAAGAAGTGAGGAATTTGAGTGACAGTACGCAAGTACTCAAAAGAAAAACATGCATCCAGGTTGCAGCACACACAATTTAGCTACACTGCGAGGTCCACACTGATCAAGTACTCTCAGGCTATCAGTACCTAGAAATTAAATTATTACTGGGCGTGCCGTAACACGAAAGCTCATGAGCTCTGGTGGTTAGGCGCAATCGTTCACCAGCGGGACGGTTTGATCCCTATCGCGCGGGCATAGCTGCTACGAGCATTATCATCCCCATGTTCGAGGAGGATTCATGTGTGAGTCGCTCCTTGATCCGACGCCTGCGACCTTTATCCACCTGGGATCTCCTTGGGTAAATGGCATCGCATTTCTCGCATGGGACTTCACCACGCAACTCGATTCTCTTCAGCCCCACAGCTCGCTCCATGACTAGCCTTATGTAGTTTGTCACCTTGTCTTCATCCTCAAAACCGTACATCCGGAGCAACTTCAACTTTAGGTGCTTCAAATCCTTGGATGGTTCCCACACCACGTTGGTCTTCTCGGCACTGTCCTCAGACGGTATGTCACATGCATGCCGCTCTCGAGATAACTTCACTCAAGAGCATACAAGACAAATAACACAAGTTAATTGAACTCGACACCAACCCATGCAGGGCAATGCAGTAACAGTTCAAACTAAATATATCTGCCATTTAAATTTTTGCAACATGTTCAGTATTACTCCCTCCGTCCCACAATGTAAGACGTATTTTTGACACTAGTGTAATGTCAAAAACGTCATACATTTAGTATCTAATCTAAGTGTATGCCTGTGTAGAGTTTGGACAACCTTGCATGAACTAAATCCTAGGCAAAGTAAAATATGCTAATATGCTTCAGGTAACTCTAACACGAGTGCGATCCAACATGATTTATTTATTTATTGTCTTGCACGGACATTGTCTCTCTGCAAAATATAAATGGAATGCCAGAACTTTTGTTTGCATTGCACTATCATTCATATACAATACAATCCATGTGTTCCATATATCCCAATTACTATGCGTACTCTATGTGCTACTTCTAAAATACTACTCCCTCCGTCCTAAAATAAGTGTCTTGAGCTTAGTACAAATTTGTACTAGAGCTAGTACAAAGTTGAGTCAGTTATTTTGGGACGGAGGGAGTATGTGATAAGACTAGAGCTGGTGAGTGATTGAAAATCATATTAACTTTCTCGTGTGTTGTTAATGTTGAATATTTGGAAACCTGGCTGTCATACTAGACGGAGTCATGATATCGAGGCTAAGGTGTGGATTAATTAAATTAAAAAGAAGGTAGAGTAACAGGCTTACTGTAAACTTGTGCAGGGCAGGTGCAACTTGGAGGATAAATAGGGTCCAGCTCAGATCACACTCAGGGAAGATACCAGAAAAAGACACTTCGGCCAGATTTCTGAATATGGCAGTGAGATGCTTGGGATGTTCCGGCCGAATCCATATCTGCACCAAGAAGAGGAACACAAATAAATAGACAGCCGAATGAAATTATTACTCGTAGTAAAGAAGAGCAGAAATATGATATGTGTGCAGAAGAAAATTAGAGTAGGTTTTACCATTTGGTGGCGAAAATTGAGATGCAATTTCAACAGGTTATTTGCACTCCTCCTTGAGAAGCACCGGCTGAGCAGGAATGGCACCTGCCACGCCTTGGCCTTACAGGCGAGGTTGACTTGACGAAGCTGTGGAACGTAGCCAAAGCGCATCGGAGGGTTGTTGGAGCGCCAAGAATGGCACAGCACCGTCCTGAGCCTGGGGACGGAGATGAGGTGGATGCGCTTGCAATGAAAGCGCTTAAACTCGAGCTCCTGGATCACAGAACACGGTGTGTCAATCTTTAGCACGTGGCGCTGATCGACCAGTCCGCAGGAGTTCATGTTGAGATGCTCGAGCTTATCGGAGGCAGCGATGAGGGCGGCGACGTCAGAGTCCCCGAACGCAAGGCTCTTGAGGCGTAGCCTGGTGAGGCACTGGAAGGCCGGCTGGTGGGCGCGGGAGAAGGACATGAATTGCTGCCCCATCTCGGGGATCTGCGGGAAGGAGTTCACCCCGGGGGGCGGGGATACTTGGAAGGCGAGGCGTCTGGTCTTGCCATGGCTGACGACATCCTCGACGGCGCTGCCGATGGAGCTCAGATGAGAGGCCGACAGGAAGAAGCGGAGGCAGATGGCCTTCATGGCCATGACACGGCCGCGCTGGCACTCGCAGTTGCGCTGAGCACAGACGGACGTCAAAGCGGCCGTGAAGGCGTCCATGGTTTCACCCAGCGTGGCGCGGCGGAAGCAGCGGACGTCGAGTGTCACGAACGAGAGCTGGTGAGGGAGGTGCCGCCACCGCTTGGAGACCGTGCCGGCGCGGACCGCCCGGCGCAGGCCGAGCCGCTCGAGGATCCGGAGGAGGAGCTCGTCGGGAAGTGCGCTGATCCTGTCCTCCTCGCCTCGGGCGACGTTGAGCTTGAGCGGCGGCAGCTCCATGGCCGGGATTGGGGGCCCGGTTGATGGATCGAAACCCTAGCTAGAACCAATCGCCGAGATGCTCCGAGGCCGCGGCTATGCGGGCGCTCCGGCTCCGCCCCGCACCTCCGGCGTGTGGCCCGTCGATCGCCGGATCCGACTCTTCCTCCTCCTCCTTCTCCTCCTCGATTCCCCTCCGGCCGGCGTGGTTAGCTTCGATTTGGTGGTTGGTTGGGCCGTGGTGCATTGGATTGGACTGGATTTGTGCTGCTAGCGAGGGAGGATTCGAGTGGATTGTTCCTCTCGGCGGCTGTACGGACTGGGGAGAGGAACAAGAAGATCACGCGAGGGGAGGGGAGTGGAGGAGGCAGAAGAAGCTCACCAGTCCCAAGCTCACCTTTTTATTTCTTATTATTATGCGGTAAATGCAAATCCCATTCATTTCGGGTACGTAGATCATCCCCTCGATATGTGCTTTCCACAAGGTTTTACTTCATTTCATTTTCCAAGGCTATGACTGCGGCATGACTATATTGAACTTTCCACAAAATCTCGTAAAAAACATGGGTACTGTTTTTTTTTTTGCGGAAATGGATATATATATTTCAATAGAAATTAATACGGATGTTTGCACAGAAAAATATAATTAAGGATTTTGGTTACCCAACGTCTGAAAAATAAGGATCGGCTCGTTGGAAACCTACCCACGAGCACCCTCTCTCTCCTTCACCACTGCGGGCATAGGTTGTTGGGCAAAGCCCGTTGGTAGACTGTGGTGACAGGATCTAAGTCTCCCTTGGATGATTCTTGGTGGATGCGCTTGCAGATCCCTCCGGGTGGGCTACTCTAGCTTCTTCATGGTGGGATGCTTCGGCTCGGTGGCGTCCTTCTGCAGACCGCAAGCATCCCATGGGATGCGCGTTCGAGCCTACAATGGTAGCGGTTGCGCTTTCGGCCAAGGTGGTTTCTTCGAGGCGTGGGTGGTGGTGCATCGCCCTCTTTCGTGGTGTGGGCAGGCTAGATCCGGTCGCGACAGGCGACGGGGCTGCCATGGCCTTTGGTGTGGTTCTTTCTCGACGAGCGTACTGGGAGATGGATTGTTCAAGCGCAATGAGATGGATGGCAAAAGTCGTGCTCGAAAGTTTTTCCGAGCCGATGATGGCGACGCCTTTAGGCATCATTACCTTGATGAAGGTGGCGTTGATGTCATTCTCACCTACCTTCCTGCTACTCTGGGGGAAACCCTAGACCCAGGTGATCTAGGATCAGATGTTGGCGTCTTGGTATCGTTTTCATCTCTTGGGAACATCGTTTCGGAGCTGCATTGGTTAGGAGGACTAGTGGATGATGGCAGCTTCGCGCTGCAGCGGATTCTTTCATGCCTCACCGGTGCCATACTTTGGGTGGCTGAGGCATTGATGCGGAGCATGGAGGCGATCCTTCATTGAGATGTTGCATTGCAGATATGGTGTGTTGCAATTTGCTGGTGATACTTGCGGCTATGGTACGACTGTGACAACTCATGGTATACTATTTGGGGTGCTCAAATTACCACTGATAGACACTCACTAGTAGAAAAAAAACTACTTTATATGAGCCACATTAGTCCCGATTTGTAAACGGACCGATACTAATGTGACCATTAGTGCCAGTTCCAATGGCTAGGGGGCCGGGAATCATTAGTCCCGGTTCGTGTTAAACCTCAAGTACCGGTTCGTGACACGAACCGGGACTAAAAGTGTGGTGGGCGGCTTGTGTCATACTGGGGGCCCACTGGCACATTTAGTCCCGGTTCATGTCACAAACCGGGACTAGAGATGCACCTTTAGTCCCGGTTTGTATAAAGATGCTCCTATATAAACCATTCGTCGAGCCCGAGCTCTTTGTTCTTTCCCTTTCTTCTCCTCTATGTTCTTCCCCTCTTGCTCGAGCTCATCCACCGTTTTTGCAAAAAAATTGTCAAGATTTGAAGGCACCACATCCATCCAAGTGTTCACAAAGGTTAGCAACTTTGTCCTTTCATCTCTCATTGCTAGATTAGCTCTTGCAATGCTCTATAAGTATAGTGATTTGTGGGTTTTAGTTTGGGAGTATTTATATGTGGTAGTTTATTTGATTTATATGCAATTTGAGCTCAAATTAACTTCTTAGTTTGCATGTGTAGGTGTGGTTTACTTAGTGCCTTCCCGTCCCCGTCCTAACCATCGTCGATCGCCCGCACCGTCCCGTCGCCGTAACCACCTTGGTGAGCCTCTTGTTCTTATCCTTTTTACTAGTAATAATGTACGTGCAATGCACGTTTATATTAGATAGGATATTAGTTACACGTTATATTAGGTAAGATATATCTGTTGCACGTTGGTATTGCTTGGACGGGTATGCCAAGGTGTAGATGCAGACTCATTGTCGATGTTGAATACTGGAGAAAGAATGATGATCAATGCTCTAGTGAACCTGCATGCTGCAGCATTACTATCAGGATATATGGTTCGGGTACATGCTTTTTGTCCCCACCACGAAATGCAACTGGCTCGATCCCCACAGACTGGTTCGATGTGTGGGAGTGCCGCCATGGCCGTGTCTTCTTTGGATCTGCACTAGGACGCAACCAGCATACCGTTTGGGGTTCCCATGAGGGCTGCTCACGCGGCTGCGCCTGCCCAAAGACTACTTGGATAGCCCCGTGCTTGGGGTAGGGGTGCTCTGTGCCGTGGCAAGCTGTGACCACCGTGTGTGCCATGAGGGGCCCTTCCGGGTGGTCTTTGTCGATTTGCAACCGGATAGGGATGTCGCATTTGCGCGCGCGATGGACGCGCTCTATCTGGAGAAGGGCACCTATCTTCAGCAGTGGAGTGAGCCATGCTCTCATCTTCATCTTCCATCTGGTGCACGCCTTCAGCCAATACCCCCTGCCCTTATTGAAGACGCATTTCACTTGATTCCCTTTCATGAAGACGATGGTCCTTCGCAGGATGACATTGCAGTTCTCAAGTATGACTTGGGCTCTACTTGCTTATTACTAATTGAGCTGCCGGACTTTGTCTGTTATTACTCATCACTACTTTGTGTGCTATGTAACACTAGAATGTTGCACCTAATTATGCTTATGGCTACCTAACTGGCTGTTTTATATACTATCATGCCATCTCCTTTTTGCCATCACACTTACAAATCTATGTTTGCAGAATAGGAAGTTGCAGAAAGGGAGGAAAGGTGAGCAACTCAGTAGCGGCTCATTGCCGATGTAGGATTGAATATGGATAAGGGCAGGATGTCGCTTTCATCAACACGAAGGATGACCACACCACTTGGAGTTGGAGGTGACATACTGACATGAGCCTTGGGAAGCTTTTGTAGTGGTGCTTGTTTGCTTTGGATATAGTATGCTTGATAATTTCCCCGTGTTGTTGGCATGTGTAAGCGGGTGAATGGATTATCTTGTACTCTCTCCGTTCCAAAATAGATGACCCAACTTTATACTAACTTTGTACAAAGTTGAGTCATCTATTTTGGAACAGATGGAGTAATGAACTTCTAGTTTCCTGAAGCAGCAACAACCATGTCCTCCTTTGTTGAATTTGCTTGAGAATGCATAGTTTGGTCAGTTTGCTATTTTAAAAACTATACAGTTTGCTCTCCCAATTTTATCCAGTTTCTGGATTCATCTCTCGTAAAGGGTACCATTGCTTAGTTTTTGCATGGTGGGTTGCTCATCTCAATTAGTCATATGAATTTAGTTATTGCTACATGTGCTCGCGTCACCGCAGTTCTGTTAGAACTTTAGAACTACAAAGATCATTATGCAATTCACCATCTCCGGATGCTTTCTCTCTATGTACTCCTTTCAGGTGCATATTACAGCCAACCTCGTTGATCAAACTATGTCCCACTTCCTGGTGGACATCAAAAACTATTTAGATGCAAGATTCAGTCGAACTGCATCATCGAGCGTCGTGTCTAGATGTTGTGGTGGAGAAATGGCTTGTTTCTCCATGCCTTGAATTTGTAATGGCACTACCTGCTGTTCTTCAACTCGCTGCAATGGGCTGCGTCCAGTGGCTCTTGTAGTTTCCTGAGTTTCAGAACCACCCCTGGCGCCTAGGGAGTGTGTTTCAATCTTGTTCATTTTCCACCCTTGTATTGTTCTGTGAAAATTCCATCCAACCGCATCATGTCTCTCAAGCCCGAACATATGTAGCAGACCATCACTACAAAAAAAGACACATCCGTGACATTTTGGATCGAACGAATTTTTTTCCTGTCATACTTATGACACTTCTATGACGATAATTGTGACAAAACCTGATATCATCATAGATGTGGTGGGGTCCTACTTCTATGACAAAAAATCATGATAGAAAATGGGCTTTTCGTCCTGGGCGGGCCGGAGACGCATCTGCATGACATTCTTTGGGCCGTCCTTGACGGAAAAAAACCGTGGTAGAAGCGAGGGCGAGGAAAATATCGGGGTGTTCCCGGTTACGGTGGGTGGTCGGGGTCGAGCGATGCGCGTTTCTCTCGTACACGCACGCGCGTGGGTGCGAGGCGTTGGGCTCTAACTGAACCCGAGCGATTGCACTGCAGGCTACGCGTTACTGAACCCGAGCGATCGATCGATGGCTGTTAACTGAACCCGATCGAGCGATTTCTTCGCTACTGCTGCTAACTGAAGCCGATCGATGCTACCTCTGGATGAACAGTGAGCGTTGCCGGGGGGGTTGGATGAACAATTCCCGGTGGGGGTGGATGAACAAGACCCCGCGGTGTTGCCTCTGCATGAACAGTACCCTGATCGATCAAGCCGGTTGGGGCTAGATGAACAGGACCCCGTGGAGGGCAGGATGAACAGGACCACCCCGTGGAGGGGCAGGATGAATAGTAGCCCATGGAGGGGTGGTTGAACAGGAGCCCGTGGAGAGGGCTGGTTGAATAGTAGCCGGTGGAGTAGCGCGTGGTGGAGGTTGGATGAATAGGAGCCCATGGATGAACAGTCGCAGGTGGAGGCTGGAGGAGGTCGACGG